ACCACCAGCTCATTCCTACGTGCGTCAAAATATCTACTAAAAAGGACATTCGAGGAAGCGCTAAGATCTTAAATCAGGCAAGTAAAAAGTTGTTACGAACGGTGATTCAGCAAAAACGGTTCGATTTACAAATCATAAATAATACCATAGACAATTTGTCCAGTGAGTTAAAGACAGTTTTAACGACATTTGATTTTAATAATTGCATTGAAACTTTAAACAAACGCGAAATATCGAAATATAATGAATGCAAAGACAAACAAATAGAAAAATACCAAAAATTAACTATCAAATCAAATGCCAAACATCCATGTCAACGTAGAAACGAAACGCAACAACCGTTGACCAAAGACGCAAACAATAAACAACGCACGGTCTATAATTTGTCAAAAGAAATACTGGACGAACCTACAATTAAAGTATTGTCGAAAGGCTTAAATTTTGCTATAACGCCGCAAAAAATCCCGTACGAGGAAATTATCTGTAGTGTTGAGGATTGTCTGTTTAAGAATAATATCGGTAAAGAGGATTTAGAGGCTATACGTCAAGACATTTCGTCCTTGTTACGTCGAAGTTCAGCGCCGAGACTAAATCTTCCGAAAGACGAATTTAAAGCGTTGTACAACTTACGCAACAGACCCGAGCTCACGATTCTCCGCGCGGATAAAGGAAATGCTACGGTAATAATGGACACGTCAGAGTATAATTTCAAAATACAACAACTTTTATCGGACGTAAGTACATACAAAAAGGTCAAAATAGACCCTACAACTAATACACTCAAAACAACCACTGATTTAATAAAGAAATACTCCGAAAAATTAGATCTTGACGTGAATTCGACAATACCATCATGTGCCAAACCACCGAGGTTGTATGGGTTACCGAAAATACACAAACCAAACGCTCCACTACGTCCTATAGTAAGCCAGATCGATTCACCAACTTATAAGTTGGCTCAACACTTGGCAAAAATACTGTCACCACTAAGAGGACATACCAGAGCACACACAAAGGATTCATACCAATTTGTTAGTGAGATTAAAGACCTACATCTCGCTGACAATGAAACTATGGTCAGTTTTGATGTTCAGTCACTATTCACATGCCTACCTATTGAAGACTGCATCTCAATTGTTACTAGAAAGCTAGAAGATAACAACATGCCTACAGAATATGCAGTATTACTCAAACACTGCCTCACATCTGGCTATTTATTGTGGAAAGAAGAGTTCTACATGCAAGTAGACGGAGTGGCAATGGGCTCACCTGTATCTCCCGTAGTCGCCGACATATTCATGGAGGACTTTGAGGAGAAAGCCCTTCTTACTGCTCCTGTAAATCCAAGATTCTACAAGCGGTACGTAGACGATACTTTCACAATTTTACCATCTGACAAAGTAACTGCATTTTTAAACCACCTTAATTCCATAAACCCTAAAATACAATTCACAATGGAGTTAGAGGCAAACAATACTTTAGCTTTTCTAGATGTTTTAGTCATCAGAAATCCTGATAACACTATTGGTCATACTGTGTACAGAAAAAATACCCATACCAACCGATATTTAAATGGTGAATCTCACCATCATCCTTCACAGTTAGCTACCGTGGGAAAATCTTTGTTTCAGAGAGCACGAGGGATCTGTGACAGAAAACATCTGGCCGCCGAGCTTCAGCACGTCGAGCAAGTACTGCAAGACAACAAGCTTCGGGTCCCGCGCCTACGTCACAGTGACCGAGTGAAGCCAGCCACAGTCGAGCGTGTGCCTGCTGTACTACCCTATGTCAGAGGAGTCACAGACAAGGTTGGCTACATCTTGAAGCGAGCTTCCATTAAAACATACTTCAAGCCGCTGAAGAAGATTGGTCAATTTTTACCATCCGTCAAGTGTCATATCCCTCTACAAGATGCAGGAGTGTACAAGCTGGATTGTGAATGTGGTCTCTCGTACATAGGACAAACAAAAAGATCTATTAAAACCCGCGTTAAAGAACATATAGCTGACGTGAAGCACCGACGTATCGGGAAGTCTGCAGTTTGTGAACATGTTCAGGATCGTCCCCGTCATTACATTAGATTTGATAGACCAAAAATCCTTGCAAAAGAACACCGATTCCTCCCAAGGATGATTCGCGAGGCTATTGAAATTAAAAAACATCCTAATTTCAATAGAGAAGATGGATGGGTGCTGCCATCTGCTTGGGATCCCATAATTAATAAAATCAAATCCAAACCCAAGTATACCACTGCTAGACTTCAAGATACTGTAAGCTCATTCTGCGTAAATCGAACCAAAAATTAATATTAAAAAACTGAAGGTAGCCGGGCTAACTATGACAGTAGGACGTCAAACAACTCAGTCCCCCGTGACCACGGGTGCTGGAAAGCACCCGAAACGTCGGGAATATAAAAATAAGTTAATATACGCGATAAAATCCGTAAAATTAGTTTTATTTAAAAATGTGTACCTTCTTATATTATCGATATAGAAACAAAAACAAATTTTGAAATCATTTAAAATTTAATTAGATATTGAAAATTGTTGATTTTACCTACGTACAAAAATATTATTTTACAGATCCGAGGCGAGAAATATCCGATTATGATAGTAATGATAGCGTTAAAGACAATACTTACGAACCGCATAAAGATATTTCGGATGGCAGCTACGTCAGTGATTTGCCAGAAAAAGTATTCGTAAAATCCAGGTCTTTAAAAGTGAAAAGGAAGCTGCCTTTTTCAGAAAAATCGCCTCAAAGACAAAGTAAAGTAGCAAATAATGCAGATAATAATTTAATCACTTTAGAAAATGTTCTAGGTCCAAGAAAATAACGTATGTCTGCAACTTCAGTTTTTAGTGAAAGTTCTAAAGAACTCGACCGTTTTTCTGCTACAATGACTAGACAAATAATTCCTACTGATTATCATTCAATAGACAACCTTAATAAGTCTTCGTTATTTGATCAAAGTAGTTATGACTACATTAGCGAATTCCAATAATATGATTATGGTTCAAGAATGGGCGAGTACATCAGCTAATAAGAATAATTACCTTGGAAAATGTAATTTACAGACAGATATCCTACTGCAGGGTTTTCAACTCTACCAATTTTTGATGAAAGTATTATTTCTGATGCTACTTTGAATGAAAATATAATTAACTCTAACGGAGTTATGGCTGCAGATATGAATGGGTATATATATATATATATATATATATATATATATATATATACAGATATATAGCAGATCGATACAGCAGCTTATTCAAAAGTTGAGAGTTGCCGCTAAAATTGCAAGGCTGAAAGGTTCTCTCTATCACTCAACTGTTACTAAAAAAAGAAGAATAGACGGTCGTGAGTTGAAACCCTTATGTACGTGTAAATTTAAATGTTATGAGAAAGTGCCTAATGAAACAAAAATGCATATATATAAATTTTGGAAATAATGTACCATTTGGGATCAACGTGGCCTCTTTATAGTCTCTAACAACATAAAAAAAACTAAAACGCATGATGGGAATACATGGGAACTTACACACTGACCGAAGAAAATTTTCTTACGAATATAGACTAATCGTCGATTATAAGAGCGAAAAAATATGCCGGAATATGTTTCTTAATACGCTATATTTAGGAGAAAAATTTGTTTAGGTGACCTTGGAAAAACAACTTGGTGGAGGTCTGGTAGCTCCAGATCAGAGTTGAAAGCATATTCCTGGTAATAAATCATCAGATGTGGTAGTAATGTGTTTTTTATTGTAATCTTGCTGTTATCAGGAAGATGCTACTGCCCATCTCCTGCCTGTTTCCCACTGTCGCCTCTTACGACACCCACGGGAAGATATGGGGTAGTATATATTCTTAACCTCCACTACACGGCATTTTATAACAAAATTTTGTTAATTCCGACCTTATGTTTTTATACATAGTTATCATCACAAGATTGGGCTTAGTTAAAGTTTTGTTTCTTGTCAAACATAATGTTACATGTTGTAAAAAAGCTTATAATACACATTGAGTTTACCAAAAAATTGCAGGCATAAAGTTGGATCACTACGTTGAATTAAAATGATCCGTCCTTTTATAACTCTTTATAAGCATAAAGTTGGATTTCACCAAAAATGTAGTTTTTGTTTAATAAAATATTATTATTATTCTGTGACTAGTTTTATTACTATACTCATACAAAGTTCGAAGACTTATCCTTAACATTTTACTATTTTTGTTATCTTTATCGAAAATAAACAATAGTTTTGACACGATTTCATCAAAATGTTTCTTTTGGCTCTCCTCTAAACTTGTTAAATTCCATATCCGACCTAATGCGTCTCAGGTCGAGATATTATTTATTTATTTATCCTTTATTGCAACACACCTTCAAGTAAGGGTTAGAAAAGGCGGACTTAAAATGGAATAAATAAAGATGGTGATGGGTGCAAATTAAGTTTAAATAAATTAATAAACGAAAGGGAGACTTGGCATAGTAAAAGTAAAAACATATAAACGTATATATATATATATATATATATATATATATATATATATATATACATATATATATACACTACTAGTATTTATTTTATTTTATTTTTCTATACACTTTATTGTACTAAAGGTACAAACGGCGGACTTAATGCCAATGTGATAAAGAGGACATTAATTTCAAACTACAAAAATACACGGTACAGTAAAACTGTACTACTATAGCTGATGGTAAGTGGATGCTGCAACCCATACACATCTACATCGTAATGCCTCGCTACCAGTAAAAACAGTCTCCGGTGCTCTACACTCACTAAACAAAACACAGCAGCATTATTCTGTTGTTTCATGCTGGTATTCTGTGTGAGCGTGGTCTTACCCCGGTCGAACCGACCCATTCGTGCTGCATCTATGTATATCTGCAGCATGGCTTTACCACGTAATACCTTACCTGGAAGACTTAAAATTTTTATTAAAAACTTTTACTGTTATATATACAAAATTTAACTTACCTTCCACCGTACAATTGAACCCCATAACTTGCAAACACGAACATCAGTAAAATGAGGAGGGTAGATACCTAAAAAATTTAAGAACACAGTGACCATTTCAAAACAAAAAACATTCGCTTTATGATATTATACTCGTATATTAGCAGACTATATGCAATTAAACACTTTCCTTTTTAACCATTTTTAGTGAGGTTTGTATTGCAATATTTGCAATATTATTATTTTGGTTCTTAAAATACTACGCTAGAGTTACGCTACTTAAAAATATAAATTCGCTGAAGTTTTATAACAAAGTCCAAATATTAAATTTATTACTAAAAGCCAGACCATGTACCTTCGATAAAAATATTACTTTGTTTTGTTAGTAACTGATATTAATATTTTAACCCAAATTTTTTCGCTCAGAGGTCGGTTGTTTCAGTGCTTACCAAAAGTATTTCCTTAAAACCACGACAAAGCTCGTAAACCACCTTGCGCATATGTGGTACAAGCGTGAAAATACGTAGAGGACGCACGCAGCGAAGAATCATAAGCATCTGCGCCGGAGAGCCCGGTGGAACTCGCACTGGCATCCAACATAGGAAAGTCAGTGAAACCTGTAAGTAATGATTAATTAGTCAAAAGTTCTCATGGTTTCTCTTCCGATTATATAGATAATTTTCGAAAATGTGTCGGAAACTATCAATTGGACTATTGTATCACAAGTATGCGCAGAAATACAAACTATCCTACTCTGCCTGCATGAAAATCTATGATAATCTAAATAAACCATCTGATGTGTGTATGAATAACGTGATGCGGCCTAAAATACTAGAGTAATACTGAAAGTTAATTAAGTGGCTTAATATGTAACAATGTCAATGAATAAAATAATACCATCAAAAACATAACTTGTAAAAAAAAGCCAAGTCTCGGAACTCAGTTCTTCTACCGTAAAAAGTTGTGAGATCCATGTAATACCAATTCGGTTTATTTATTCAGTCCCTATTTAAGGGTCCTTCTGTCTTAAGTTATTACGTAATTATCTAACTTAACAACATCTTATAGTAACCACATGAATACTAAAAATCTGAATAAATTAACCGACTTGGTAGTACATGGATCTCACAACTTTTTACGGTAGAAGAACTGAGTTGCAAGACTTGGATTTTTTTTACAAGTTATGTTTTTGATGGCATCTCATTTCTTTTTGTAGATAGTTATATCTTTATATAAAAAAATTACGTGTCACATTGTTTGTCCGCGATGTACTCCTAAACTACTGAACTGATTGCAATGAAATTTTTCAAACTGTGTGAAGTTTGGTCCAACTTGAGAGATAGGATAGTTTTTATCCCGATAAGTGACACTCAATATTTTTTTATTACGAATACAAGGATTTTTATATGAAGGGTCGTCGAAAAGGGCAGAACAACGTCTGCCTGGTCAGCTAGGCTAGGTATATAATATATATATATATATATATCATATATCATATTATATATGAATAGATACACTGATTCATTCACTGCAAATGTAACTTTGTAATCCTATATATTTATATGGGATTACAAAGTTATTTATGCAGTTGGTGTATCTCGAAAACTGGACGGAAATTGCAAAATATTTTAATTTTTCCTTGATTTGTATATCAAACAAAAATGGAAAATGGCCTGAACTGCTTCGAGAAAAGAATGCACAGAATGATGTACGGCCGTGCCGCTTTTTTGCTCGACTTGACACTGCCGTGCCCCCAGGTTTAAATTTGGATTATAAAAATTTTTAGTAACTTGACGATTGTCATTTGGTTTAAAAAGAATATGTAGAACGCATAGAATATAAGACAATGATAAATTTTGTGGTGAAGTTACATCTTAGGTTTATAAGAAGGCGAACATAGAAATTATACCTGTTAAAATAACTTTCAAGTTTACAGCACTGTAGAGAAAGATTGACACATTTTTTATACTGTGTGCATTTTGACCTTGTCTTGAAAAGGCTAGAATGCCTTAATTTCAAAATTCCCAAAAATAAGAGGAGAAACCATTTTCGCTGTAATAAGACCGTTGTTACAATATTTACTAGAAAATTATAATAGAATGTTTTTGAATTAGAACAACATGATAACCACCATATTATGTAATATGAACTCATAGTAAAGACCCAATCTACGATATACTCCCTATGAGGCAATCTATGGAGAGGGCTATGTTCAGCTTTTTAAGGCTGTAATGGATGAATGGAATAGATGGAAAAACTGCTAAGATGAAATACTTCTATTAATATTATTATTGAAACGGTAATTATTATTTTTTTTCAATAAAATAAAGCCGTAAACTGTAAAAAGATAATTTAATTATAGACTAGGTACTTAAGTACTTATTTTTTTCAATACAAATAATGTAAAAAAAAACGAAACCAAAAGAAATTATTTAATAAAAACATTTAGTACCAAAGTTATTCACACTGGAGACGTTAATGCTTTGTGTGATTATATAGAATGGAAATGTTTAGTTTAGGTACTCGCTATGGATTTGTATGTCACAGGTAGGATAGGATTGGTAAGTGCCTATTTATTTGCGTAGTTAATAATTTCCATAACAGAAATCGTCGATTTATTTGCAAAAAGTTTAACTAAATTTTAATATCAGATGCGCAACAAGTGTGAAGTAACAATACGTAGGCAACATTGATAGAAAATGCCACACAAGACAAAGAAAGAAGAGAGAGATACTACACAGAAATAACAACAACAAAACTTTTTGACTAATTGTAAGATTAACCAATACAACAATTCGTGTATTTTTGGCTAGGTGCAGATCTACGACGGGAAGAAGCGTCTAAAGTATAAAACATTCTTAGCATATAACTTTCTTTTAGATATATTGCTTTTGTTAATTTTCATCAAGGTATACTTAAACATAAAACATTGCAACACTACCTAGTATATAAAAAAGTTTTCCTTTGTCCTTTCATCATGACAACAGCTTGTATATAAATAGGCGACCAACAGGTACTATCAACCGGTATAACAATCACGCGTAAGGTAAAGTAAAGTAATTAACGAGTAAATAAGAAAAGGTACAATGGACACTGCAGAGAGCCTCTATAATTTAATGTACTTACCTACATTTTTTTGATTATTCACTTTCACTGTAATTTAAACTTGCAATTTCATGTGATGAGATCGCCAATAATAAGTGAAATGAACTACGCAGTAAAGTTAAAATTGTTTGCGACGCAGAAATAGTAAAGCGCAAGCGCCAACTTAACAGAGCAACCAGTGCTATAAATACAAAATCAATACATTAAGACAGCATTTCCCAAACCATGGGTCGCGACCCACAGGTGGTGGCGAATATTGAGTGGCCCTGAAACATAAGACGATATTTCGGCCGATCGAGCTTCAGTAATTCAGTCCACTCATTTATCATTGTTAAAAAATAACTTTGATGCCTATTTCGGGGAAGAGATGAAAAAGCTTGACTCGTTGAATTGGATTTGTAACCCATTTCAAGACAATAAAGTAACATGTCAACAAAAGCAAGTGAAGAACTGATTGATTTATCAAAAGATACGTCATTGAAAAATTGTTTCAATCGCAAGCAGTTGATAAAATTCTGGCTCTCAGTTGCTGGGAACTATCCTTGTCTGTTTGATGAAGCTATTAACCCTTCAGTATCTCATATATATGTGAGGCCAGATTTTCGGCTATGATCAGCGTTAAATTAAATACCGAAATAAATTGGACGTATGAAACTCACTGCTATTAAAAGTAACTAAAATTGAAGCTGATGCTAAAGATGTAATGACAAAAAATAGGAAACAAATACACCCTTTTATTAAAATAACAGCCCTTGTAAGTATTTAAGGAATAAAGAATTCTACCTTAAAGTTGGCCCCCAATCTGAAGAGGCCCCTCGGCCTCCAAGGACGACGTTCTAAAAATTATGTACTATCCTAGTTATATAAAGAATTTTCGACTTTTAATTTTTTCGCCCCTGACCGCGAACGGCTCGAAATGAAATCACAAAAATTACTCCCACTTCCAGAACATAAATATAACATTGTTAAAAATAATTGTTTACTTCGTTTTATTGTCATTTTTATATAGAAAAAAATCCTAACAATTCCTCTGAACACTCCCCATGGTAAATGCCATAGAAAATTCAAAGGGATGCAACATCTCTTCGTCTCGTCTTTCGTCTTTGTCGGTCGTCGACGATTCGAGCCGCTCTGCGCTGAAGTAACCATTTGTGTCGGACCATATGCCAAGGCAAAGTCATAAACAGATCTTCCCGCATGATCGGTTAAACGAGAACCAAGCCATTTAGCGTGTTGGCCGTTAAAATCACCAAGAATTACGATTTCTGCAGATGGGACCTGTTGTGGTATGGACGTGGCGATTTGGACGTAGCCGATGAGTTGGTCTGTATCGGCATTAAATATAGAGGCACCCGTAGAGGCGATGATGGTCGTCGCTGACCTTCAAGACTGCAGAGGCGTCGAGAACAGATGTCCTCTCTGACGTGTACGCAAACTCCAGCCCGAGGCATAAAGGTGTTCTAATTTGTACCTCGGATAGAAGAGAAGTATCGACTGGAGAGGACACCTGCGTTTCGGTTAGACAGAACAAGATCGGCTTTACTGTCTTCAGATGGTACCTAGTGGACTTCGTTTACGTTCGAATGAAATCCCCTAATGTTGCAGAAATTCACGGATAGCGTGGCAGGGGTCACCTTTGTCTTATTGCTCTACTTGCCACGAGGAGTATTAGTCTTGAGCGGAATTTCGCGACAAAGAGCTGATGATGAAGTAGTATTGCACCTTTAAAATATGTAGTTTAGTTTAAATAGGGCCCCAATTTCATTTTTGCCCCAGGGCCCTTGGTTACATAGCTACGCCACTGTCTACAAGGTTCTGTTTTTAAAACAAAGGGCTCAGTTTTTAACGACTTAGTAACAAGCATGCCCTTTTTTACTATTATTTTATCTTTTTAGAGGGTTATAACAGTCTGCATCCTTAATATTGTTATTAAATCCCTAATTACACTATAAAATAAAAAATACTGACTTATTTTATATAGAGTCATGCTGTAGCTATATTGTGGTTGCAGCACGAATGGGTCGGCTCGACCGGGATAGGACCATGCTCTCACAGAACACTAGCGTAAAATAGGAGCACAATGCTGCTGTGTTTCGTATGGTGAGTGTAGAGAACCAGAGACCCTTTTTACTGGAAACGAGGCACTTTATCCCAATCCTCAGGAGTGGCGGCGCATCTGCATTTTTATTCTTAATTATGGATAAATGTAGATGTCTATGGGCCACAGCATCCACTTACCATCAGGTGGACTATGTGCTCTTTTGTCATCCTTATTCTATAAAAAAATGTTCATATAATTTAAGTTTCTTTTTAACTTAAGTACATAATATTTATAAATTTTTTACTTTTTATATAGAATAAGGGTTACAAACGAGCACACAGTTCACCTGATTTTAAGTGGATGCTGTGGCCCATAGACATCTACATTTTATCCGCAATTACGAATCAAAACGCAGATGCGTTGTCACCCCTGAAGAAGAAGTAATGCCTCGTTTTTACTGAAAAGGGTCTT